GATTCAAAAAAGATAACTCCAACCTACTTTATTTTATTCTCGAAAAGCGATCTTGTGTGTAGATATTGCCCTCGGCTTTTGGTCTCGTTCGGCTTGTAAACTAAAATATTTTGGTAATTGGCTAGATTTTGGCATTTTACTGCATAGATTTTCGATTTAGGGACTCATAAATAAAATTTTAATGAACAACTATTACTAACCATCGAGGTACAGCCGCTTTATCTGGTCCATCGGAAATGTTTTACAGGTTTTTTTCGAAACGACCAAACTGAAATAACGATCAAATAGAATAAATTTTGAGATCGAAAAGCACGTGTATGTTTGAAATATTTGTAGCATTTTCGGTGTATGTGGTCCAAAATATTCTGGTAAGAATGTCAGTTATTTCGAGATAAGTCTCTAATAGATCAATAATTTTTAGTTAATGTTAAAACGTCTTTTTCAGTTACTTTTTGATGATAATAAATTATTCCCAATTTTTACAATTTTGTAGATCTAAAGTTATTTCGCTTTACCTATAGACTCAAAAATTTAATCGATTCTTTAAATCGAATCCCTTAAACGAATATCCTAACGAGCCGTCAAGAACGATTTAAAGGTTTTCAAATTTATTCAAAATCTTTATTGATTTCGGCAGGTCTATTCATCCGCCTCATTGGCAATCTTTCATCATGATAAATCCTTTTTTGAAACAATACCATCGCCCGTTCTGATGATTTGCAAGATGTATAGCGGCTGAATCGAAACCATTGGCTCATCAAAAATGTTCCTCTATTATAATATATTTTTTGTTTAATAAAATACTTAGCTGATTAGGTATTAAAATTTGAAAAGCAGTATGCAGAGGAAAATATTACAGAGTGAGCAAAACAATTAAATTAAATCTAGAAACTTCACTACAGCACTGGCTATGAAAATTGTAAAATATCTGTGTGGTTCTGAAACACAGCTCAAAATAATCGATTGAACAAACTGCAATGCAATGATTGACGTGATTAATATTAGCTGTAATTGGTATGGAATACAATTAACAAGGCGTTTCACATCGCAAAACCACCCAGAACTTACATATTAAACGAATATAATAAGTATAACAAGACGTTATCGAAAGAATTATCCGAATTAAACTGACGTACCGGCGACCGAGATAACGAGAAGTGATTTTCGAATCGACCGTACGACAGAAATTCGGACACTTCGTCAAAAGAAAAATAACGATGGATTTATTTCCGACACGGTCTCGATGTTGTACGCGCAGACATTTGACAGCTAACCATCGAGCCGATATCCGAGTCACTTCGATTTTCGACCGACAAAGGGCCATCAGTGATCGACGGCTTTTTTACATCGCATCGAGAAACCATTCGAGGATTTTAGGAAATGTAAATTGCATTCCGCCAATCAGGGGTGTGTGTGCATAAACGCAACGAATATTTTAACACTAACCAGAAAGTATCCAGAATTATTAGTATACCAACATCATTATACTTATTAATGTACCTAATACAGTACATAATTCTGCTTCATCTACGTATAGAAAGTTTCTAATTAGGATAGGGTTAATTTCTTATAAACCAGGAAGAAATCCTCCGTCACTGTTCATAGACGTTTAATTTTTATTTCCGCTTATCAGTGATGACTTCTTTTTCTTCGACGTTCTTTTAATGAGCGTATCTGTCTATAAAGGAGCTCCATCATATTTTGATCGGTTACGCTGTAATATGACAATATGAATTCCTGTCTGTGATTAGCTAGGTTCTGGGTTTGTTGGAATCTTCCGCTCTATTGTTTTAAGCGAGTAATTAAAAAATACTCGGGCGTTATGAGCATACCTATTGAGCGCACAAACGAATTAAGTACTTTGGTTTATTGTTTTTTGTTCGATACTCCCTCGGAAGGCAATCGTTAGTATCGTAAATGTAGAGGAAGGTGGTTTAATTTTTTGGGTTTCTTCTGAATGAACCCTCTTCACTTTTTATTAGTTTTTAATCGGTCCGATTTTTTTTAACATTTCTGATTTAATTAAAAATACAACAATTTTATCGCATAGAATGTGGCTTCGTCAAATAAACATATAAATCATTAAAAAAGCATTTCCCGCTTTTTATAACACGCAGGGTAGGTAGTACAACTAGTCGTCGACGGGGTAGACTGCCAGGGGGGTGAAAGTGGCTCCCGACGAGCAGCTGCCGACACCTGGTATACCAGAACAGCCACAGTGGCGGTACCTTAGTGAGCACCTACATGCTCATTATTACACGTTTAAAGATCGCGAGTGTAAAGAGCCACTTTCAAATTTTAGGTTCCATCAGATATCAAAAACATGATAAACATGAATGCATTAGTTAGATATGGACCTATTTGATTCCTAAACTTGCTTTTCAAGTCAATTATTAAAGGCTTTAAGGGAGCAAGAAATAACAGTAAGAGTTCAATGAAGTTAGGATAAAAACGATAAAAAAATTCACTATCTAGCTTGCACCACAGCTCATTAAATATTAACTAAATAGCCAAATTTACCAAATTAATGTTGTTGGTAGATCGCAAGTGCATACAAGTCACTACGCCTCTGATTTGAAACTGACCTTCCCCCCGTTCAACCCCCAATGGCTCGAGCCAAGACCGACATAAAATCATGCAAATGCACTTGATTGGAACGTATAGTCGAATTGTTCCTAATGAAAAGCAGGTTTGATTATTCACTTGGGTAATTCGGTAGGTGGCGACGGTATTGTTTTGTTTTTGTCCGTCTAAAATTCTATATGTAGGTACTCAATTCGATGTAATAAAAGACATCCTTGCAATTAGAGTTTAAAAAATGTCTGAACTTGTTGTTTGGCTTGAATGCCACCACCGCTGGACCGGCGGTTGAGTATTGGTTTTGGCGTGTAAAACAATATGAATTGAAACTTGTTGACGGTGTGTGTTTCGTTTGGGTTTTCATTTTAAAACTTGTCCAGAAATATACATAATTCCTTCAACCAGAATATCGCAATTATTCAAATTTTACCTATTTTGCCCATTGTCCTTAACACTTCCTATTCAGCAAATTTTCTAAATGATTATGCATTTTTATTAATATTTAGACAACACTTTTATTGACAAACATGATTTTTAATAAAAGGTGTATTAGAAACGCGGTATTTGAATTTTTGACAGACACAATATGTACAGGGTGACCCAGGGTCGCGTTAAAGTCCCATAACTTTTTACCTAATTGAGATATCGACTTGATTTTTTTTTCAAAAGGTAGGTACAATAATACTGCGTATTATTAAAATAGTTTCGTCTATATACAGGGTGGCTTAGTATTGGAAATTCACCAAAGTTACCTTTTTTTTAATGGAACCCCCTGTATATTATAACATTTTTGAATTCTTTAGTGAATTTTAGTGTGACTTTATGTACCATACATTGTACCTAAAACCAATCGTTTAGTGGTAATTCGACATTTTCGAAAAAAGTAGAGGTTTGAAAAAAAATGAATATTGCCGCTTTTGTAAAACTTAGGAGGTCGTGACTCTGGGTTATTAGTAAACATGAAATGTACTACTGTGTGACATGGATTCAGAATTGAATACTGTTTGTGTTCTTAGATATCGATAAGCAAATTTACAAAATTTCAATTAAAGGTAACTTGATTTTTTTAAATGAAACTACCTATTTTTTTGTACACCATCTTGTAGGAAATTTTATTGCCTTTCTAACGATATAATATTGTCAATATTTTTACCTGCTAGTTTTCTCTTAATTCCGGAATTTCTTATAATTCGCGGTAATTTAGTAGTATTCGCGGTAGTTAGCTGTTGTTGGCCTAACACTATAGACATTGTCCTTAACAAATCCCCATAGGAAAAAATCAATTGGTGTCAAATCGCGGGAACGGGCAGGCCAACAACAGCTAACGACATGAAGATCCGGATAAGAGACGCTTTTCGATCAATTGATTAAAACATGCTAACGCGCTTTAGAAATTAGTTTTTAAGAAGACGTAATCGAACATAATAGCAATATCTTTGAGCATCTATTGTAAGAAAAATTATTGTGCTATCAAAAAAAACTGTTCTTTACATTATTCCTTGTACATTATCATTATCTCCCTATAATCAAATAAATTGTAGTTGATTGATTGATCTGTATACTTTTTTTATAACTCACTATCTTTTATAAAATTTTTGTTTTATTTTAATTTAATTTACTATATTGAGCCACTTTGAACAGTACTATTGAAAATTGAAAATTACCGCGAATTATAAGAAATTCCGGAATTAAGAGAAAACTAGCAGGTAAAAATATTGACAATATTATATCGTTAGAAAGGCAATAAAATTTCCTACAAGATGGTGTACAAAAAAATAGGTAGTTTCATTTAAAAAAATCAAGTTACCTTTAATTGAAATTTTGTAAATTTGCTTATCGATATCTAAGAACACAAACAGTATTCAATTCTGAATCCATGTCACACAGTAGTACATTTCATGTTTACTAATAACCCAGAGTCACGACCTCCTAAGTTTTACAAAAGCGGCAATATTCATTTTTTTTCAAACCTCTACTTTTTTCGAAAATGTCGAATTACCACTAAACGATTGGTTTTAGGTACAATGTATGGTACATAAAGTCACACTAAAATTCACTAAAGAATTCAAAAATGTTATAATATACAGGGGGTTCCATTAAAAAAAAGGTAACTTTGGTGAATTTCCAATACTAAGCCACCCTGTATATAGACGAAACTATTTTAATAATACGCAGTATTATTGTACCTACCTTTTGAAAAAAAAATCAAGTCGATATCTCAATTAGGTAAAAAGTTATGGGACTTTAACGCGACCCTGGGTCACCCTGTATGTAGATTACTTAGAGTACCTAGATTTTTAAAGATACAATTAGGTATTTTACAAAATAAGATATAAAATAAAATAAATTGATTGAATTGATAGATTAAATATAAAAACGCTCGACTCGGAAAATCATGCTTAGTATCAACTGAACTTCTAAGCAATTCATTTCCAACTTCAAGCTATAAAGCAAAAAAAAACAAACGTAAGTACTTCCACAATTATTTTTATCACTTTCAATTGACTATATATGTATGAATTATTAAATTTCTAGATGAAGCTGATAATCACATTACTTTTGGCAAACGTTCTCGCTGCCTACGCACTTACCGATAAAGAGGAATGGGTCAATTTCAAAGTAAGTAAAATACATACATTTTTGAGCGGGAATAAGTCTAATTCAATATTTTTAGTCTAAGAACAAAAAAGTGTACAAAACCGCTTTAGAAGAAATGAAACGATTCTCTACCTTCCAATCAAACTTACGTAAAATTAAAGCTCATAACGCAAAAGAAGAGCAAGGCCTTTCATCATACAGAATGGGAGTTAATGCATTTGCCGATCTTACGCCTAATGAATTTAAAGATATGATGACGTTATCAAACAGTCAACGTCCAGAAGATAAAGAAATCACCCCTACTAAATTGCATTACGATGGTGAACTTCCTACAGAAGTTGACTGGAGAAAAAAGGGGGCTGTCACTGAGGTCAAAAATCAATCTAAGTGCGGAGCATGTTGGAGCTTCAGTACTGTAAGTGGTTTTATTAATATTGAATTTAAAGCTATTAGATTTTAAAGAAGATTAAATTGGTTTTTACAGACAGGAACAGTTGAAGGTGCATATTTTATAAAAACTGGCAAATTGGTTTCTCTTAGCGAGCAAAATTTGGTAGATTGTGACAAAAATAATTATGGATGTGGAGGAGGTTACATGACAACCGCACTTAAATATATAGAAAAAAACGGAATTATGGCAGACAAGGATTATCCTTACGAAGCTAAAGATGACAAGTGTCGATTCAACAAATCTAATATAGCTGTGAAAATCACTTCATTCATAAGAATTGCTAGTGGTGATGAACAAGACCTACAAGAAAAAGTCGAATTGGTTGGACCTGTCTCAATTGCAATTGAGGCAAATAAGAATTTCCAATTTTACACGTCAGGTAAATACTTAATTCTTATACAAACTCGAATGGTATTAAGGTAATTTATAACTATAAAGGCATATTTGATGATATTTCCTGTCAAAGTGGAATACAATCATTGGGCCACGCTGTATTAGCTGTTGGATACGGTAGTGAAAAGGGAAAAGATTACTGGATTGTTAAAAATTCGTGGGCCACCGATTGGGGAATGGATGGTTACATTTTGATGTCCAGAAACAAGAATAACCAATGCGGAGTTGCCACAGACGCAGTGGTAGCAATAATCTAAAAATGTATTTTACCAGTTTAAATAATTTCTTTAAAATTACTAGTTAGTAGTTCTGTAGTTATAATAAATGGTTCTTGTTGTGTTGATCCAAGTAAATATTTTATTTCGTATATCAAAAATCTATCTAAAAATATAACAACTATGCAGTAGAAGAAAAAACAGAATGTTACCAAAACTATACAAGAACTTGACAGCCTCTGATGACTTTAAAGTACATTTTATTTTATAATAAATTGGTACTTACATAGTAATTTTTCCATTAATTTACCAAAAATGTAGCTTGTTTTTATTATAGAATCTATAAATGGATATAATAAAATAATTTTAGTTGAATCTTCTGTATCGTATAGACGAGCCCAAAAGACATCGTCAAACACCATCATTACTGTTAATACCTACTCGTTATTTCTTCCTTTAAATGTTATCGATTCTGCTACCAACTTTTAGATAATTAACAATCTGGTATACACATGTACTTATGTAAATTTTCTACATCGGCACGTTTTTATGTATATATATTTCAACATAACATTATTAATGAGTAGCATTTATCACAATTAATTGTATTTATCAATATAGATATTTTTAAGGCTAAAGATATTGAAAACCTATTCGAGGAAATCAATTCGGCATTAATAACTTGTATATTATACAAAGCATCTAAAATAATAATGTAAGTACCTTTAGCAATTATAGGAATCTTATAATTTGGATTGAAAGTTTATTATTGCAATATTATTAAAGCAAACCTCACAGACCCTTAAAACTTAATTTCGAGATCGCTACAAAGTCCAAAAACATCTGCTAGAACACACATTGCATTGAAAATCCGGAAGAATTACGAAAACCTGCTCCTTGAACCAACGAAGTAAGTCATAATTTATAATCAGTAATTAGGTTACTTAATTGGTATTCATATCGTTGTTAATTCGGCCGAAGAATTTCGGATGTAATTAGAGTTTACCGTGGTCGATTCGACGCATTTTTACTGATCACATTCGATCAATTAAAATTTACAAACTCGTGCGTTCAGAGGTCTCAAAAAACGGAATATTACATATATACATGTCGGATAATTTACCAATTTGTTTTTCGATTAAATTGAATATTAATTTCGAACACTACTTAAACTGATTGTGTGGTGCTAAGAAATTATTTTTTATCACTTTTATTAATACTTCTATTGCATCTTAATAATGTATTCTTGTCACGTTTTTTACATAGGTATAAATTTCAACATAATCTTATTAATGGCTTGAATACTGAACAATTTGTGCATATTGTTGTCATTGATTTCTTTATTATGAAAATAGTGTTTTTGAATGATGTAATTTCAATCGACTGGACTATTATAAACGCACTCATACACACGTGCTCTGGTATTTTGGCAGATTGGCACATTCGGACCGGTCCCAATGCACCTGTCTTCCGTCTTTCGAACGAAACGCTACTTTGGACATCATAAAAAATATATACATATATATTTCAACCATACATATTAAAGTCAACTTATCGCAAGATATATTACAGGTTCAAATATTAACGTAATAACTTCCTATATACGAATAAAGACTTACTTGACTATCCGACAGTTAACAAAAAATTCGACCCGAATCGTTCTAGAATTCTTTTAGGAAAAAATCTCTCGTCCTTTTGCATTATACCGACGTATTGCGCAAATTAATGCACCCGTTGAGTTGTTTAAAAAATTAATTTGACGTACACGTGAAGTTTCTTCGAACGATTGTTATCTCTTAATTGAATTAATGATGCTGACTGACCTATAATTAAAGAGAACACAATGTTCGAATTTTATTTTTGACAGAGGACAGACCACATATCGTTAAACGACTTGTCGAAACGTTGGATGTGCCATATGAACAAGGTGCCTCCGGAGTTCTCACAATCAAACTCAACGTCGTCGAATTCCGAATAGATTCTCTAAACATTTCTTATATTTCGAAGGCGTTTCTGTACTTCTGTACAAAAATAATGGTTGGTGGGCCTTCATATGTGGCATTTTGATTTCAACATTGTAAGAATTTGCTACAATGTAAGATATGTCTTTATTTAGTTTCTGCATCTTTATTGCTCGCCATTAATTTACCTCCATTCTATTAAATGCTCTGATTTTTAATTATCCTATAAAAATGTTCGATCTTCAACGAAAATAAAATACGAGTGATTGCTTAAAACCGCAAGTGAATAAATTGTATTCGTATATAAATTGTAGCGATAAATTTAACCTGACGATTAAATTTTTAATTGAATAACACCAGTTGATGACTTAAAAATTGTATTTGGTAAATATATCGAACTTTCCGTAATATTTTAATTTCATGAAAACTTTTGTAAATAATTTTATATTCTATGTCATTCGCTTTGTATGAAATTATTTTTGGGTTAAAATTCGAGAGGCATCATTTCTACATATTACTACTAAAGGCAATAAAATGAATAAATTTTGAACGTATGCTATTATCTTCTTATAGGGTAAACGATGCTAAAATGCCACACACGGAGAACCACCCTTGACTTTACTATACTATAATAGTCGTTGTCCCCTTACCTGTCCGATGACTTCTTATGAAAATGTGAAATATTTTATTAGAAGACGAACGTTAAGACTTAATTTAATTATACGCCAGCTTTTTAATAACGTTTGTATTAGGACTTCTGGCCGTATATAATTTTTATCATAGGCGTAACTGGGAAGATTTTTCCAAAGCAGGTAAAATCAATGAATAAAATAATATTTAAACAAATTATGCATAAAATAATCGTAACATCGTAAGTATAAAAAACAATCAGTTCTACTTCAATGATGACCACCGAAGAATTTCTTTTAAAATATTATTCGACAACCCTATTATTTCAGCTCTTTTACCTGTAAATCGCTATAGGCCAATGCTATCAAGCTAATATACCATGTAAAATATTCGATATCGCTTATTGATTATCGATTTTGTATTAAAATAAGAGCACATTTAACATTTAAATCGAAAAATACATAAGGGCTACGCTATCGTTCGTTAATAATAATAACATTTTTTAAATCGAACGAAATTGTAAACCGTAAAAAATGCAAATGATTTCTTTAAAGATATTATGTAAAGAAAATTCTTTAGAGATGTGCGTGTCCGTAATAAAGCCTTTTATAACAATATAAAGAAGAGTAAATGCTTGTTTGAGAAAAAATTATATTATGATATTTATAATCTTTTATGCAAAAATTTATAGCCATAGGAATGTGACTCGTATACCTTCACGTCTCCAGTCATAACTACCAATGTAAGTTATATAAAGAATATCTAATTTTGTAAATTCAGAAATACGCAAGTTATTTCGTTATAAAAAAATAGGTATTTAATATAATATATGACTGCAATACGAAACTTCAATATCCTGTATTTAGGCACCATCTTCATTTGGTAACTTGTCAAATCTATGGCTTCATTAGTGGTTCCAATTAAACGGCATTCTTGACATTCGATAGTACCTATAACGTAGTATGGTAGCAACTGTTCGTAAATTTAAAGTACCAATTTTAGCACTGAAACTTGATAAGTATAAGAAGATATTTAGATTGTGCGGTTAAACATATGATTCCGTGTAAATCAATTTATACCGCAAATAAAAATAAGATAACCATCAGTAGGTTAGGCTGTAAAAATTTCAGAAAATTTATAAAAAGTATGTTTGACCAAAAGTAGACACCTATTATTAGTGAAATAAGATTATTTTTTATATTATTTTTATCCTCTTACATACAACTGTTTCTTTTGCTTAATTCAACTGTACGATTAAAATAATGTTGTAAGTTTTATTTTTCGCCCACAATTATAAACTTTACACCTGTCGTCAATACCGTTTAACCTCTCTTAACCCTATCAGTACTTACCTCAAATGGTTCGGTATTAGTTCCCATGCAATAACAAATAAAGTGAAAAAAGCAGTTTACGATGGCCAATACAAAGCCATCAAAATCTACTTAAGTGAGTTAAAAAAAAGTAAACTGGGAACACTTAACTAAAACCCGAACCAAAGATAATTTAATTTAGCCGAAAGATAGGGCACCCCAATCCCCGTATGCATAACATCCGACGAATTTGCGTTGGAAAAGAGTATCACTTGAATTTTAAGATGTTTAAGGGTCCATGTTCAGCAGATTCTTCTATTGAAATTTAATTTCAAATTCAAGTACAATTCGGCCATATTTTGTAAAAAATAATTCGAATATAAGTTGAATTATTGTTTTCTTATAAGCAGTTCCTCCGCCAATAATGAAATTATTGATGGTTATTGCTATGAGAAGTGATTGAGTAGACTTATTAGTAGTGAACAATCTTAGGCAGAATACGGAAACTGTAAGATTAAGGAGTGGATGATTTGATATAGAAGTAATACAAAAATTATATCGAGTTTCAACCATTGGACCTTACAAGTTCGTTGCGGACGAGCTCGATTCGACCGCACTTCGAGCACCGTACGGGTGGTTTATTGGTCGCCGAGAACGCGAGAATTGTTTTATTTGCGTTATTTTGAGAGGTGAATTATCTGCGGTCGGAGGCAGAAGTCGTTTTTAGAAGTGACGACCGTGCCGCCGAAGAAGGTGATGAGCCGAGCTCACGCTGAGCGAAGATGAATATCGTTTAATGCTCAAGTTAAGAACCGAACGGAATCGTTTAATTCCACTTGATTTTATAATAAGCTAGGAGTAAGTAGGTACTTTTATTAGGAGCGTAGATGTGTATTTAAAAAATAGTAAATTGCGGTTGAATGCAAAATTTACAATATACAAGTTTCTCAATTATTTATAAACATTTGTCAGTAATACTAAGTACCTACTAAGTACGTACTAAGTACTAATTACCTAATCTTTTTAAAAACGAAATATAAATAGTTATAAAGTACCAGTCGAATTTACTCATTGAGAATAGAGCAATTTTACTATACCTTGTTAATTTATCAACTCAGAATATTTAATAAATTAAAAGCTTACATCTCGCATCA